AGACACTCGCCCCTTTGTGGAATGAGTTTGACACGTGACTTAAAGGCTTTAAAAGTACACTGAGGGCAAAACGTTATAAAACAGACTTAATTAAAGGTGCAATATGCAGAAATCACTCCGCCATTTCCTGGTTGCTAAAATTCTAATAGTTTACTTAATTTCTGTTTTGTTTTGTGACAAAACAAGCAGTGTATAGTGTAGAGTCCTCAAACTCAACTCCTGTGTAGCTCAGTTGGTAGAGCATGGTGCTTGCAACGCCAGGGTTGTGGGTTCAATTCCCACAGGGGGCCAGTATGAAAAATGTATGTAAATGTATGCTCTCACTAACTGTAAGTCGCTCTGGATAAGAGCGTCTGCTAAATGACAAAAAAACCTTGAAGCCAATTCCACTGTATTTTTTCATTGTTCCCCTCTAATCAGTGTCATGACTGTCCTGTGTGAGAATCTAAGGCCTCAGATCAGCTTGACAATGGCTGACAATAACCAGACCATCTCTCACCCACAGAAGAGGGTAGTGGGGGCTGGGACGGTTTTGACACCTCACACCTGGTCGTAAATTAGGCAGAGGGGTATCTCTTACCATACCCTCCAGTACTGGTGATTGGAATGTCCCTTTGTCTCCAGAATACTTTTGCCGCCAAAACTCCAACGTCCAAAAAGTAAACACTGGAACAATATTTCTAAGATAAGAATGTGGGGAATGGTCAGTGGGGACCTAAAGAATAATCATGTCATATTGTTTATTATTTTGTGATGTCATTAAGAATGGTATCAAGAAAATACTGTAACTTGAAAAGTATACACACTATATATATGTCAAGTTTTCATCCTTTTACGTTGAATATGCGCCACTCGGTTCCCGATGGTGCAGCGGTCTAAGGCACTGCATCTCAGTGTTAGAGACGTCACTACAGACCCTGGTTCGATTCCAGGCTGTATCACAATCCGGCTGTGATTGGGAGTCCCATAGGGCGGCACACAATTGGCCCAACGTCATCCAGGTTTGGCAGGGGTAGGCCATCATTGTAAATAAGAATGTGTTCTTAACTGACTTGCCTAGTTAAATAAAGGTTAAATAAAAAATACATAAAAATAATGTATATAAAAAATGACGAGCGTATTTTTGTTAAGATAGGAATGTGATTTTGGTTTTCTAACGAGATCATCAGCATGATGAGCATGTCAGCATGATGGAACACCCCTTTTACCAAGAGTGCATAAAGGCTTGAAAAACAAATTAACATCAGACCAGAAAGACGTGAGACGGTGGTCTACACGTCTGAAAATGGTTGGAACGTTGAACCTCAACACGAGGTGAAGAAGACCAACTCCCAGACTAGACCTGAACATCGCCAGGCTGCAGCTGTGCGTGTAAAGTGGCTCAAACTCTGACTAACCACACAAGGTGGGAAGAAGAAAGCTCCCCTCTCAGACAATCACTGATACATCTGAGTAACTGTTCTGAGGAAACATTCCAATACAAGCCAGGACAACTAAGAAGAAGGACATTGTAACCTCTTATGGACAATCAGGGCCTTACACCCACAGGACAATCAGAGCCTTACAAGTGAGCTGAGCGAAGACCCAGCCAAAACCTCCTTTCCAAGAGGGCTTGGGTCAACAGAGATAGACGACGAACAAAGACATCCACACGTAAATACATTCATGATTTCTTACTCCAAACGGGCGATGGTTCGTGAGCAAAGTATTATGATTACTTTGAGGGTAGTTTCCAAATGTATCCACGATAAGTGTTGTGTCTCTCTTTCTCTCTCTCGCTCTCTACCCCTCCCTCTTTTGGTAACCAAGCAGTCATGTTGTTGTTAGTCCGCTAGGGACTTTTTCTCATGTATTAAGTGTGCATGTTATTCTGTGTTATTATTTAGTTAGCTAGTAAATAAATAATTAAACCAATTTGCATAGTGCTGAATCATAAGTAAGGCTGGGGTTCGTGCAGATCCAAGAAGTCTACGACCGTTCAGAATGAGACTGATAAGAGGTCATGTTTAATACGTTCACTGTTTTATCCATATTGATAGGTAAAGAACTTTAGAGTTTAATTCGGGAGATGGTAACTCTATAAACAACTTCTTCCATGGTGCCCCAAATCCTAATGAGTTAATTGTTACATTATTAATTTAATCGAGTAACAAATAAACATAGTTAGTTGATTCGATAAATAACAGTCATCATATTAATGAAAGTCACGTCACGACATCAGGGACTGATTTAGACCTGGGACACCAGGTGTGTGCAATTATTTATCAGGTAGAACAGAAAACCAGCAGGCTCCGAACCTAATAGGGTAAGAGTTGAATACCCCTGATGTAGAGAATCATTCTACCATCTAAACCGCTGTGAAATGTATTTTCAGTAACCTAAACTATTGTATTTTCAGCTGTGTGACGTTGGTGTGCAAAACCAAAGTAAAAGACGCAAAAACGAAACTTGAGCATGGGAAGCACAGAAATAGCGCACATAGAACATATCTACCACTTCTTAGACTTGCTTTCAATGAGAATGAAAGATCTATAACTCACATTTCTATGTCAATTTGGTAGGGTCACCCAAAAAGTTACATATTGCAGCTTTCATTTAGCAAGAAATATAAAACAATAAAACTAATTGGCAGTATCATGTGATAAAACAACATTTTACATTTCAGACCTTCTAGATTATAACATTCTAAAAACACTGGTTTTACACTCTGGCTTGAGTAATTAACTAATCAGGTACACCTGGAGTGTGACCTGCCATGCAAAACTGAGCTACTCAAAATTAAGACAAATTAAAGACTTAAACAAACAATTAACTGCTGATGGTTGAGACTGATAGTAAGCGCTGAGTAGGCTATGGAAGGATTTGAACGTTGATGAATGAATACAAAACATACAAACATGCTTGCTCTGAAGAAGTAACGTTCATACACATTCAAAAGAGTCCAATGCCTCTAGTGAAGAAGCCTCTCCTTTGCAGCTTGCCTACTTCAGACATGACATCTTTCCATCTTACAGAGCTTCAGATGGACTGTATTACAATAATAAAGTAAAACAGAAATAGATTATTATTAATTAACCCTTCATAACCATTTAGATGGCCATATAATATATATATTTTTTATAGCCTACAAACATCTAAATAGAATTGATCTACTATCAGTTCATAATATGGAACTAGAGGGTATTGAGCATGAATTGTTGAAATAACACTATCGTTCACTTTATATTAACTTCCAATAGCACACTCTTAGAAAAAAAGGTACTATCTAGAACCAAAAGGGTTATTCGGCTGTCCCCATTGGAGAACCCTTTGAAGAACCCTTTGAAGAACCCCTTTTGGTTCCAGGAAGAGCTATTTTGGTTCCTGGTAGAACCCTTTTGGGTTCCATGTAGAACCCTATCTCTACATGGAACCCAAAAGAGTTCTACCTGGAACCAAAAAAATGCCAAGATGGAAAGATGCCAAGTCACCAGTAAGTGTCTGGTGAACGAGATTAGGACAGAAGTGCTGAAACCCCTACCCTTCCCATTAGTGACAATAGAAAGACAATGTGAGCGAAGCCTGGAGCTGAGGCTATAGAAAGACAAACCCTGTGTCCCAGAAGATGGAACTTTCCATGGCACTTTAACCCCTTGCTATTCCTAACATTAGGTAGTAAAACAGAACACCTGAAAAAAATTACTGAAATGCATGGTCCTTTGTATATGGTCCTTTGTAGCTCAGTTAGTAGAGCATGATGCTTGTAACACCAGGGTAGTGGGTTCAATTCCCGGGACCACCCATACGTAAAATGTATGCACGCATGACTGTAAGTCGCTTTGGATAAAAGCGTCTGCTAAATGGCATATGTATATATATATATTATGCACATTATGCTTGAATAAAACGTACCAAAAGAGGATGATTGAGTCATGTATATGTACTTAGAATAAGTAGATCAGGTGTTCCGATGTATCTGGGTGTGATTGGGTGGATTTTGATGTGTTGATGTGTTTGATGTGTTGATTGATGATGTACGAGCAGGTGCAGGTGTTTGTAAGTGTGTTTTATTTATTTATTTTAGAGACTGATTCGATGTGTGGGGAGGCATGGTTGGGCGGCTGTTGTTCACTCAGGAATGTGTGTGATGAATAAAGATGTGTTTATAAGGCCTTTGCGGCATCCTGTACATCAGACTGTGTGATTTCCCCATGTTCTTCCCCCTTCTCAGTGGTGTGTGTGGCTAAGACATGTTGTGTGTGTGACTAATACGATGTGCAGCTCCTTTGTTTCCAGCTAAATGGGCGAAGAAAAACGTCATCACATTGGGCAATGCCACTACCAGCATGTAATAACAATCTGTAGGAGATGATGGCTTCCAGTGAGAGGTTGAATAAACAATGACTTTGCAGAAAACAGCAAGAGGGGATTACTTCAAATGATTTATTTCTACTGGTATGATCCATAGAGGTTTAAACTGGAAAAAAAATGGGAATTGGTATTTCTTTTATTATGGTGGTCAGACCATTTTTTACATTTCTGATTCACAGTTTGATGTCTCATCATCAGTCACCAGGGAAAAAATATATAGGCTATAGTATGAGACAGAATTTAGAACTGGAAGACAGGCAATTCACCCTTGCAGGGATGAGAGTGCAGAATTAAGAAAAAAGTACTTCTAAAAGTACTAAAATATATTTCAAAGCAATTGAAGATGTATTGACTAGGCCTACATTGACCATGCAAGCCACATTTATGAAAACACACACTGGCATAATATCCAGGTGTAACAAAGAGGTTTAGGAGTTTGCAGGTTTCTTATGTTGTTAAAGGCAGTTTTTTTTTTAGATAGCCACAGGGTTCCAGCTATGGAGAATGAGATAATGTTTAAAATGGCTTCACTGAAAATACTGTCATAATGGAAGTATTTTTGAAAACTGACAGACTGGGAGGCTGAAACTATATTGTGTTGAGAAGAGAAGAAAAGAGAAGGAAAGAAAAGAGGAGAAGATATTCTCCATCTACAGATCATACAGGACCTCCAGTATGGTGGTGGTAAACCAGGCCTGGGTCTCACAGCTGAAGGGACAGTACTGGCCATTCTCATTGGTCAGCTCAAGTAGACCCAAGACGATCTGGTGGGTGATAAGAGAAAATATTGATTATGTGACAATTATAATCAATCATATCAATTGAGTGAAACAATGAAAAAATGTAATATACTTCTGACTAGAAAGAAATTCCATCCTGAGAGCATTTTCAAAACCATTTTGGTCACTTACCGTTAAAACGTAAAAATTGAGAACGTTATAGTATGTGCAGTCACTTAAGTTCTTTGGCTTGTGACTTACCTCTCCAAGTGGATGTTATGCCTAGAGAGGACATTCTTCACTAGGTTAACAGTCTTGTCGTAGATCTCCCATCTTCTTGGCAAAGTACAGTTCCTATCTACTAAGAAATGTTTATGTGGGCTGTAAATGCATTAACGGATCCTTGGTGGTATTTGAAGCCCTTAGCGACATTGAAATTCTCACTATCCAGAGCGTTATCGTAGACACCACAGTACTTCATGTCACTTCATGAGGGGAAAGAAAATAGATAATATGTTAACTGTGGGGCAAGAATGAGAGACTGAGTGTGGTGCAAGAGGTGGGTCTAGTCTAATGAGTAACACAGACGTCTTCGGACTATTGCTGGGGAGCGAATCTACTGTATGCTACACTGCCAGTTTCTTAACTGTTTATCCTCTTTCACCCTTCTCTTCTGATGTGTCTAAATAAAGCAATAACAAAAGAAGAATGATGTACTGTATGTATTGGTGATACACTGGTGATGTTAAATACTACTCCAATCATTATGAGATCTGATATTCTGCCCAATGCAACTTAAAAATATGAGATGTAGGCCAATACAACTAGCAATATAGAAAATAGCAATGTGATCTACTGTATAACCCATGGAAAGCCAAATAACTCACCCGTGAACTATTTCATATGTATTTATGGACTGATTGTGAGGTTAACAATTATGCAAAGGGAGTTTACATGTTGGTGATAAAGTTAAACAATTATGGGAGTAAATTGTTATTGACCGTGATTTTTATTTGTATCTAGTTTTGTTTAACATGCTTTGGAGAATTTATTTGTGGCTCATGTAAAGAGTTGTGTCTACTGTTTGTGATAGAGTTACATCTACTGTTTAAATAAAAAAATGTTTAGCATTTGCATTTAGTGCGAAAACAATCAGAAATTACTAGGCTAACTGGATTTAGGGTTACTTGGATCCCAGTTTTGCTCATGTGGATTCCAGTTTCCTTCAATGTTCAATGAATCGAGACAAACTGCAACGCAGCCCACTAAACTGAAGTGAGTTTGCCAAAACAACACATTTCTCTTGCAAAATACACTAACACCATCAAAACTTAAAATACCTGTCTCAAAATTAAATCACTCCATCAAAACAGTATAATTTGTCATCTAATTAGAAGACTTATTTAGCTAAATTAACTAACACCCTCAAAACTGTTATTTGAAATAGCTTTGCATACAACATGCTGTAGGCCTCATGACAGTGATGTTAGGCCTACAGAGTGTTCTCTACCAGAAACCGCTCCGAAGTCTGTATATTGATTATCCCTACACATGTACACATTGGTGTTTGCCAAAACAACACATTTCTCTTGCAGAATGTGTGTGTGTGTGGGGGGGGGGGGGGGGGGGGACAGAAATGTGATAATCTTTTCTTCACCCATATTGATAGTGTTGGGGTTATCCAGTGTACTGACTAGTCTTTACAACACTAATGACGGAGCTAAGTAAGCCTTATCAGAGCCAGAGTGGCCCATAGGGTAGGGGCCTATCTTCCTGTTTCTTTAGCATGAGGCAGTTTAATGTACATGTACTTCTTTTGGACAGGACACCAGGACGCCAGGACGTTAGCTACAAGGCTAATGAGGCAGTAAAAAGGAACAGTGCTTACCACCACCATGGTGATAGCAAAGTTAGGCCTGAGCTTGTAGTCACACCAGGGACTGGAAGCCCCATGGCTGTCCTTGTAGATGCCTCTTGTGCACCAGGTCTGGGTGTTTCTCATTGGGGTCCTGAAGGTTGTGAGACACATCGCGTCTCTTCCACATTGGTTCAGCGTAATTTCCTACGTCGATTCAACCAGTGGGCCTAGTGGGATAGAACATCTAATCAAAGTTCGACTGGATCCTCCTGTTCCACTCTTCATATGGCACAGAGATATTACGACCTAGAACAAAACAAATATGTCTAACTTTACGATAGGAAATATTCATACCATTTTCATTTTACAATTCATGTTCAAATAGACAATTCAACCTCTGACATTACTACGAAGTAGTATACCAATTGTCATAATGATTCATCAACATTTTTGAGAGTCGGAGGAAGTGGGTCACTAGTAAGAAAAGTAGCACTAGTATGCAAAAGAGAGATTATTTTTCATTCCGCCATATTAACACAGAAATCACAGTAAATTGTGTTTTGCTTGACAAAGTCCCAAAATCGAAATTATGACATTTTAGACCCATGTTGGTGCTTTTAGGGTTAATGGACAATAAAGTACATCCTATCTTATCTTGTCTTGAGCAAAGGGCAAAGGGCAAAAAACCTGTACCTAGGTGTAGCTGGGATTCCTTTGTTATGTGCTTTATCACTCTCTCCCATCTTGTCCATCCATGTCCCATAGTTGAAACAATTTCCTCCATAGACAAACCCAGAGTCTTCATTCACCTTGGCCTCAACATTTACCCTGGTGGGGAAAGACAACCAAGTCATGAGAAAAAAAAACATAAATAGCTGATCAACCCTGCTTCTGTAAATGAAACATAGTCTAAGTTAATTTTAAAAACTCAGAATTAAGTGTGTGTGTGTGTGCGTTTGTTCTTCTATCCTTGTGGGGACCTAAATTCCCCCAAAGTCCCCACAAGGATAGTAAAACAAGGAAAATCCTTTCCCATGTCCCCATGAGGACAAAGGCTATTTTGAGTTTAGGGGTTAGGTTTAGGATTAGGGTTATGGTAGGGGGTTAGTTGTTAGGTTTAGGAGTTAGGTTTAGGGTTTGGGCTAGGGTTACGGTTAGGGAAAATAGGATTTTGAATGGAAATACATTTTTAGGTCCCCACGAGGATAGAAGACCTAAACGTGTGTGTGTGTTTAATAATTTTAAGAAAGTTGAAGCTCATTTACTGCATTTCTGTACAATTTAAAAACTCTAAAATGTTTTTTGGAGAACAGAAAAAAACACGCAGAAATTAGCCCAACCATTATAACATTGGTTGCTGTAGCTTCATTCACCTCAGTCAATCTACAAACACAGCCTATTAGCTATACAATCAGGGGTTGGAACCGGTTCAGGGAACAGAACCGAAAACCGTAAAATAAAGACATTTTACAAGGAACAGAAATGGAACTGAAAGTGGTCCATACGTTTCCGGAACGGAACCATTATTTTTAAAACATGGGAACTGGTTAATAACGTTATTTTACGTTCCAAGCATTTTTTTTCTAGTCCCACAAAAAATGCAACAATGCCCTCACTGTGTCACTCTGCAAAGCCCTCACTGTGTCAAACGTATTCCAGTATCTGCCTGCAAACTGAAAATCTTTGCTAGTGTGTGTGTGTGCGTGTTTAGGCTACCTGCCCCTCCGAAGCATAGGCTATTGTACTGACATTACAACCGTGATTCAGAAGATAGGGAGAGATTTTTAATTAGCTAGAGAAGAATGGATTAACTTTTTTCAATGCTAGTTAAGGATACTTATGCCTAGTTATCACCTTTCACGTTGGATTTATTAACTACAAAAAGGTAAGATGTGTTTTTAATTCTGGTGCCGCTCTGCACACACAAGTTTTTTAGCTAGCTAGCTCAAGCTTGTTAGCTACCTAGCTTAAAATACATTCAAAGTTCCTCCATTGAAGACGCTCCTCCTAGGTATAATTCTGTGGACCTAATTCAGATAATGCATGTCATAACAAGATGCCCAGTGCTTCAAGCCTCCTCCTCAACCCTCTCTTGTAAAATTTCAGTCGCATCTTGCGCCATAGGCTACACTTGTCTGTCCATCACGCATGTAAACAACTAGCTTGCCTGCTCTATCCGCACTGATTGGTGAAGTAATTTAATGAGATAAATGAAAACAAATGGTTGATTTCACAGGTTAAAAAAGGAACAAAATAAACCGGCACTTTTTTCTGGTTTTAATCGGTTCATAGATGTCTTTGCTGGTCAGAACAGCGAAACGGAACAATTTCTGTTCAGAACTAAACGATTGGAAAATAATTTAAGTTCCAACGCCGTATACAATTAGCCACTACACATTAACTCAGCACCGAGATTAAAAACTATAATTTAATACGTACAGAGGGGTCTGTTTGCAGCAAAAGTATTTTATTAACAAAAGGTAAACACATACTGTACTTTTGCTTTACATAACTTTTATTTTGTTGCTGTTTTAGAGCAAATTCCTTGCAATTCTACACATTTTGCCATGGGTTGGGAGGCATTTTTGACGTTTAAAAGCTAATTTCCTCCAATTCTACATATTTTGACATGACTTATACCATGTTAATATGATATCTGAATGAGAGTGACTAAGAAAATCAATGGGGGCCCTCTGGAGGTCATGGCCCCTGGGCACGTGCCGGTCAGTAATTCAGCTATGATTACTACAAATTTAGATAGCTGGCAACACTAACTAGACTAATTTACCAAAAATGTTAACTGACATTGGCTAATTGAGTGACTGTCAGTGAGTGACAGGCCTTTATGGCAGAGTGGCTAGACGGAAGCCACTCCTCAGTAAAAGGCACGACAGCCCGCTTGGAGTTTGTCAAAAGGCACTTAAAAGACTCTCAGACCATGAGAAACAAGATTCTCTGGTCTGATGAAACCAAGATTGAACTCTTTGGCCTGAATGCCAAGCGTCACGTCTGGAGGAAACCAGGCACCGCTCATCACCTGGCCAATACCATCCATACGGTGAAGCATGGTGGTGGCAGCATCATACTGTGGGGGTGTTTTTCAGTGACAGGGACTGGGAGAATAGTATTTGTATTTATTACGGATCCCCATTAGCCAAGGCAGCAGCTACTCTTCCTGGGGTCCAGCAAAATTAAGGCAGTTATAACATTTTAAAAACATTACAAAACATACACAACAGATTTCACAACACATTGTATGCCCTCAGGTCCCTACTCTACTACCACATATCTACAACACAAAATCCATGTGTACGCGTGTGTACAGTGCATATGTTATCGTGTTATTGTATGCATGTGTCTGTTCCTATGTTTGTGTTGCTTCACAGTCCCCGCTGTTCCATAAGGTGTATTTTTATCAGTTTTTTTTAAATCTAATTTTACTGCTTGCATGGGTTACTTGATGTGGAATAGAGTTCCATGTAGTCATGGCTCTATGTACTGTGCGCCTCCCATAGTCTGTTCTGGACTTGGGGACTGTGAAGAGACCTTTTGGTGGCATGTCTTGTAGGGTATGCATGGGTGTCTGATCTGTGTGCCAGTAGTTCAAACAGACAGCTCGGTGC